TTTTCTGATGAAGGGTCTAGGCCCGAAACGTCAGCCTCTCTGCTCCTATGATGCTGCTTGGCCTGCTGTGTTCATCCAGCCCTGCACCTTGTTGTCTCGGATTCTCCAGCATCTGCAGTTCCTACTATCTCTGAACAGCTTAGAATGAGAAGCTTTGTATAGACTTGCCTGCAGTTCAGAGTATTTAAAAATCATCACTCAGAAATTCCAACTAAAGCCTTCCTTTTTGCCTCAGTGAAATGAGTTTTATCCAACCTAGTTTAACCTTTTCTTTCCTGGCAGACCTTTCATTACAATATATCAGGTTGTTAGATTTCAGAGCCTGGAGACAACAAATTATTAATTAAGAGGTAACACAGTATGGAGCTGGAGGAAAACAGAAGGCCAGGCAGCATCAACGGAGCAGGAAAGTTGACGTTTCGGGTCAGGACCCTTCTTCAGAAAATGGGGCCCTTTTTCTGAAGAAGAGTCCCCATTCAAAATGTCAATTTTCCTGCACCTCTGATGTCGCCTGGCCTGTGTTCCTTCCGGCTCCATACTGTGTTATCTGACTCCAGCATCTGCTGTTCTTGTTATCTCTGAAATTACTGATAAAGCCTTCTTCCAGATAGATTCAGTTGGACTGGGCCAAAACCACTTCTCTACCTCATCAACTACAACAGCAAGTATCACCGACATGGCACTATCATTATTCTTTTCATCTTAATAAGGCTTCTGCTCAGCTGCTGTTTAACCTTCTATGAAACAAAGTATCATAACCCATTCAGCTATCACCAATGTTTTGACAAATACAGCACAAACATTCCAATTCTCAACATTGTGAGAAGTACTTTAATCTCCTCCATCCTAATACCACCACAGACAAATCATTTTGAAAAATTAGTGAGTTGTAATAACACGAAAAGGGATTCTGAGAGATCAGAATTAAACTAACAGTAGTAAAATCAACTGTGCCCATGTGCAATAGCCAAAGAACAAATACACTTGACACATGCAGACCCCAGGTCTTTACCAATCCCTCTGGATAGTCACTGGTACTCAGTGGCATATGGAGTCATCCTGGAAATTTATTTCAATTAACTGGAGGAATGTCAAGCTTTAAACATCAGTACATGACATTACTTTAAAATAATTCATTTCAAAAGACTCTAACCTCCATAGGGGGCCAACAGCCACATTCTGCTGGTAAGATACTAGGTACACGAAGGCATGGGCTGCAGATGAATTCAGTTTGGCTGGTAACTCCTCCCAGGAGTCCAATATTAGTCGGCAAAAAATCAGAAGCTAACCAACAAGTTTAGACGTGATCATCTGATTGGCAAGAACTGTCTGCAACTGGTACTCTCCACATAAAACTGCACAATATAAAATAAAATTGCCCAGCAAAAAAATGCCGCTTTAGAAATCAGAACTTGTTTGTAGGGCACCTACCCACTTTGGAGATAATCTGCAGACAAACTATTCCCTCACCTTATTCAGAGCAACCTGCCAGGCATCAAAACCAATCTGATTTTCAGTGGCCGGTCAGGAACAGCTCCTGTCAATCAGGCCGTTTCCCGTCTGTTTACTGGGGAGCAAAGATCAACAGTCAACGTGCGCCTTCTCCACCACCACCATCGTACCCAAAGCCAGGTGCGATACTCCGGAAAAGCCCAGTGACCAGCCCCTAAGCTGCTAGACACCGCCGCTTACCTCCCGCACGTCCTGCAGACACTCGAGCACCGCGAAGTTGTTCTGCCAGGTGTGTTTGGGGCAGAGACGGACTACGTCTTCGTGACACATCGGGTCCTCCGAAAGCCGCCAGATGTTCTTCCGCGGGGCCTGGAATTGGGCCTGGCCCTGCGGACGGGCCTGGAACTGGGCCTGGGGCAGACCCTGGACTTCGACCTGTCCCACGGGGCCGCCATCCTGCGGCTGGTTGTGCATACCCAACGCGTCCCGAACGCGGTCCGATCCTCCCTGGGCCCCACAGTGCCACGCGAGCAGGAGACTGAGAGCCGCCGCCAGCAGACAATGCGAGGCCCGCAGCCATCTCCAGTTCAAAGCTGCCCCTGCCAACAACAGACTCCCACGTCCACACGCCGCCATCTTGTAACAGCAGCCGCAACCTCTCCGCCTTTTTATAGACTGTGGCGCGGTGACGTAATGACGCATCTGACGTTTCCCACGCCGAACCCGTACGTCATACGTTGCAGGCCTTTCCCCGCCCCCATTGGTATTGATACAGCCAACAGCAACATTGTATCTGTGGCAGCAAGTTCCACACTTTCTTCATGATGGGACTGTGACGTCGAATTTTACAGTACAGAAGGAGGTCATCCGACCCATCCTAATTCTAGACTCTCCCAACATCGTTAAACATCCATAGAGAATGCTGGAGGAACTCAGCAAGTCTGGCAACATCTGTGGAGCGAGAAATAGAGTTCAAGTTTCAAGTGCAGTATGACTTACCTCAGGGGGAAAACATCCTCCCTGCATCTCATCTGTCCGGCCTTGTTAGAATTATATACGTTTCAATCAGGTCCCATCTCACCCTTCTTTCCGCCAGTGAAGACAGGCCCAGTTAAACCAATGTCTCCTCATAGAGGCTGACGTTTCGGGCCTAGACCCTTCATCAGAAAAGGGGGAGGGGAAGGGGGGGCTGCTTGGCCTGCTGTGTTCATCCAGCCCTGCACCTTGTTGTCTCGGATTCACCAGCATCTGCAGTTCCAACTATCTCTGTCTCCTCACAGAACAGTCTTACAGTGCTCAATACCAGCCAAGTGAATCTCCACTGTGCTCCCTCTAAGGTAGGTATATCCCTTCTTAGGTAGGGAAACCAAAACTGTACATAATACTCTTGGTGTGGAGTCACTAAGGACCTACTAAGGGCAGATTATGGATAGCCTGCATAGTTTTGTGTGTGGGAAATCATGTCTTGCTATTTGATTGAGTTTTTTAAAGCAACAGAGAAGATTGGTGAAGGCAGAGCAGTGGTTGTGGTCTATAGTGACTTCAGCAAGGCGTTCAACAGGGTTTCACATGGTAGACTGGTTAGAAAGGTTAAATCACTTGGGATTTAGGAAGAGCTCACTATTTGGATACAAAATTGGCTTGAAGGTAGGAGACAGGGTGGTGGTGGAGTGTTGTTTTTCAGACTGAAGGCCTGTGACCAGCGGTATGCAGCTAGGATTGGTGCTGGGTCCACTGCTTTTTATGACTTGTATAAATTATTTGGATGTAAATATTGGAGGAATGTTTGCAGTACGTTTTGCAGATGACACCAAAATTGGTGGTGTAGTGGACAATGAATAATGTTATGAAGAATTAATGCTAGAGGAAAGATATTGTTAGTTTTGAAAGGGTGTAGAAAAGATTTACAAGGATGTTGCCTGGTTTGGAGAGTTTGAGCTATAGGGAGAGGCTGCGGCTATTTTCCCTGGAGAGTCAGAGGCTGAGGAGTGACCTTATAGATGTTCATAAAATCATGAAGGGCACGGATAGGGTGAACAGCCAAGGTCTTTTTCCCAGGGTAGGGAGTCCAAAACTAGAGGGCATAGGTTTAGGTGAGAGGGGAAAGATATAAAACCTAAGGGGCAACTTTTCCATGCAGAGGGTGGTGCATATATGGGATGGGCTGCCAGAGGAAATGGTGGAGACTGGTACAATTACAACATTTAAAAGGCATCTAGATGGGTCCATGAATAGGAAGGATTTAAAGGGATAAGGACCAAATGCTGGCAAATGGGACTAATTAATTTAGGATATCTGGTCAGCATGGACTAGTTGGACCAAAGGGTCTGTTTCCGTGCTGTACGCTCATGACTCTACTGAATCCAAATTCTCTTGCAATGAAGACCAAAATATAACATTTTCCTTCCTAATTGTTTGCTATACTCCACTGTCCAATTTCATTTTGATTGGTGTTCAAGACACATAAAATTCTTTGTACATGCATACTTCCCAATATATCACTATTGAAATAATATTCTTCCTCCCTTGTTTTTCACACTAAAGTGTATAATTTCACATTTACTCATGTTCTACTGCATCTGCCATGTGTTTGGCTAAATCACCTTGAATCCTCCTTGCATCTTCCTCACAATTTACAATCCTGCCTAGATTTGTGACATCAGCAAAGTTGGAAATGTTGCATGGGAGAATCTAGGACTAGAAGGCATAGTCTCAGATTAATGAGGTGCTAATTTAAGACTGAGATGAAGACAGTTTCTTCTCTCAGAGGGTTGAGAGTCTTTGGAACTCCTTGCCACAGAGATCGGTGGGGCAGAATCCTTGAGTATATTTAAGTCTGAGATAGATAGATGCTTGATCAGCGGGGGAATCAGGGTTTATGAAGAAAGGGCAGAAAAGTAGACATGAGAAATGTTGGATTAGCCATGATCTGGTTGAATAATGGAGGAAGCTAAAGGGCCCAAATAGCCCATTTCTGTTCACGTTTCTTATGGTCTGATTGTTCACTCACCCAGGTCATTTTTATACATCATGAATAACGAGGGGCCAAGCACCATTCCTTGCAGTATTCACTCTGTTTCTGTCTGTCAATCAATTCTTGATCCATGCCAATACTTTAACTCCATTCCATGTGTTTTAACATTGCCTGCTCACCTCTTTTGAGATAACTGATCAAAAGCGTTCTCAAAATTCAAATATAACACATTCACTGATTCTCCCTTATGTATTCTCTGAGATATGTCCTCAAAAAAACTCCAGTGGAGTTATTAAGCATGATTTACCTTTCATAAACTTAGGGGCTCAGTGGTTAGCACTGCTGCCTCACAGTGCCAGGGACCCCGGTTTCAATTCCAGCTTTGGGTGACTGCCTGTGTGAAGTTTGCAGATTCTCCATGAGTCTGCTTGGGTTTCCACTGCGTGCTCCGGTTTCCTCCCTCAGTCCAAAGATGTGCAGGTTAGGTGGATAGGCTATGCTAAATTGCCCTGTAATGTTCAGGGATATGCAGATTTGTTGGATTAGCAATGGTTAATGTGGGATTACAGGAATAGGGTGGTGGAGCAGGGGCTGGGGCTGGGGCTGGGTGGGATGCTGTTCAGAGCATTGGTGCAGACTTGATTGGCCAAATGGCCTATTTCCGCTCTGTTGGGACTCCGTGAACACATACTGGCTGTATCCAATCCAGTAACTGCTTTCCAAATTACACAGTGTGGAGCTGGAAGAACACAGCAGGCCAGCCAGCATCAGAGGAGCAGGAAAGCTGATGTTTCAGCCCTGGACCCTTCTTCAGAAGGCACCCAGCATCGTCAGTTCTTACAATCACTGCTTTCCAAATGTTCTGTTATCATGTCTTTTATTATGGACTCTAGCATTTCCCCATGTCTGATATTAGGCAAACTGGTCTGTAATTCTGTTTTTTTTTTTCTCTTCCTCCCCTTCCAAATAGTGACGTTACATTTGCCATCTTCAATCTGCAGGATCTGCTCCAAAGTCGACAGAATTTTTCAAGGTGACCACCAATGCATCCAGTATTTTCAGGCCCTCTTCCTTTAGTTTTCTGGAATGTAGATTTTCAAGTCCTGGTGATTTATCAGCCTTTAAACCCAATAATTTCCCAACACCATTTTCTTACTAATACTGAATAATTCCTCCCTCTCAATCGATGTTTTGTTCCATAACATTTCTGGGAGATTATTTGTGCCTTCTGTTCTGAAGACAGAACCAAAGTCTGTGTTCAATTCTGGCATTTCTTTGTTACCCATTATAATTTCACCAATCTCTGTCTTTGACTTCTCTGAGTTTTTTTCTCTTCATATATTTAAAGAAGCTTTTGCAGTCAGTTTTTATGTTCCCTGCAATTTTACTGTCACACTCTATTTCTCCACTCTTGATCAAACTTCTTGCCCCTTTTTCTAAATTTTAAAATGTTCCCAATCCTCAGGCTTGCTGCTTTTTTTTTGGCAAATTTATACATCTTCTCTTTGGATCTAATATTATCTCTTCTTTTTTTTCCCTGCCATCATTTAAGATTTAATGCCAGCCAGTTTGATTTTGAGAAAACTTGGCAAGTTTTGCAGCCAGAGCTACATAGGGCTGTTTATTTCAGATAACTTCATGCATCATATCACAATTATATTTATGGCAAAATTGGCTCAAATCTGTAAGATGACCTTTATAAAGTGCAAAAACTATTGAGAGTTTGCCTAAATTAGAATGTAGACTGGAAAGGAATATTTCTATTGTGAAAGTGAATACGTCATCTCCCATCAGTCCATCACAAGCAGCCCTGCTTTCAGTAATTTTGAATCCAAAGAATTTTGTCTGCAAACGTCTTCTCTTCCCTATCCTCCTTTCAAATATCCTAAAAGCCAAACTTTTTCTGCCCTCTCCCTTTCCTTTGACTGATAATACTTCACTGAAACATTTAATGACATTTCCTGCATGCTGTGCAAAGTTGTTGAGGCTGTTACTTATATACATATTTTTAATATACTATTATAAATCACTTTATTAAAATGCTTCAGCTTTGCCCAGGCATTGAAATTATGCAGCTGACCTCATTCCCAAGTCTCATTTTAAGTCTCTCAGGTCAATTCAATATTCCTCAGTATTGTTCAACTGATGCCTACAAATTAGATTGATCAGTACCAAATTGCATTTTGGTGTTGGTTTGCCAAATGGGGTAGTCTATTTAAATTTTCCTTGAAGTTTTTAATTAATGAAATGTTTAGCTATACTTGGACTCGGCTGCTTTTCCTGTTTTAGTGTCATCAGTAAATTGATACTTGGTTTCTATATCAAGGTCATTAAATGCTGCTTAGAAACAACCAGGATTCCAAGTGATACTCCAATCAGACAATACTGTATATATTTTACAAATACTCATTGTTCCCTTCATTTAATTCAAAAATCCCTCATTCATTCAGGCAGAAGCAGAAACAAATGTGTCATATTATCAAGGGAAACCGAGTAAAAAACTGTTCTTGATTGGTGCTGCACACACAGGCAGTGAAATACAAGTTACAAATTCTCAAACAACTAAACATGGACAACTATATTTTCAAACCAAAATGCAACAGTTGCAAGACTTACTTTGGCTGCGTGTAAATTAGACATTCGTGTTTCATTCAATTTATATGATCAACTGTTATGATATAATCCGAGCCATGGGATGCATTGACATATAACTCTGAGATACAATGGAGAAAGTCTTTTTTCTGATGGTTGAAAATTGTGTGAACATGTTTCTTCAGGGGACCCAATACACTTTAACAGTTTTTTTAGGCCTGACGAAGCAGCCAGGAGTTCACCATCAAAGTCAAGACTCCATTACAGAGGCAGGAGGAAAAAGTGCAGGCTGGTCTGGATATTTTACCAAATGGCACAGTGGCAGAGCACTCGGAATGGTAGGCCTCACGTTGTAGTGACAACCTCTATTCAGCTGGTCTCATTCAAGCATTGGTGCACGGCAAGTTGGACAATTGGCCTTAGCACCCCCCGGACAATAAAGAGGGAAAGCCACCAGACCGTGCCTCTCCTGATCACTATTTGCTGACTTCTGCTGGGAAAGACTTGTGTAAACATCAGGTGAAAGCAGAATTAGACATGGATATAATGCCCCAATAGAGAATGATCTGCACCTGTGTTTCAGCTCACACTAGTCCAGAATTGAGTCATATCAAGCAAGGATCAGCACTTTGAAGGTAGACAAGATACAAGGTAGTGAAGCATGTTTGACTCAATATGCTCAAAACCTTAATGTGACGACAGATATGTAGAAACTGTAATGTGACTACTGGAGTGTGATAGGTAGGAACTGAATTGTAATCTTTCAAAAACAGTAATCAGACACAATATTTGGTGGAAGGTGGAAGAATGAGAAGCAATACAAACTTAATTGCAAAACTTTTAAAGATAATCAGGAACAGAGATACCTGGGAGTTGGCATACACAAATTTTGTACTGGGTATCGTTAGAGATACTCTCACTCAGATTAAACATTAAACCGAGGATCCTTAAACATAAAAAAAATGCATAGCCATGTTGTAAAGAAAGCAAGGAAGGTCTTCTTGGTGTTTTGCCTGATATTTATCACTGAATCAACATCGCAAAAACATTATTTGTCATTTATATCATTGATATTTATGGAACTTTGCTACAGGTATATTGTCTGCCTTATTTCACACATTATAACAATGAATACTTATCAAAGCAGTTCACTTGGGCCATCCTGAGGTAATAAAGGTACAATGTAAATGTACATTTTACTTTATTTGTAGGTAGTAGGATAAGTTGATAGAAAATACTTGTATTTATATAGCAACTTGAACAGAGCAAAACCACATTTGTGCTAAACCTTTATAAATTGCTGGCTAGGCCTCAGTTGGAGTGCAGAAGCTAATTCTGGCCATAATTAAAAAAGGATTTGAAGGCCCTGGAGCGAGTGCTTAAGAGATTTGTGGAATGGTATTGGGGAACAACAAATACAGTAATGTGTCAAGACTGGTCACAGGTGTTGTTCTTAAAAATTAAAGGTTATGGGGAGGTTTGATAGAAGTGTTTAAAATCATGAATGGTTTTGACAGTTAAAAGAATGGGAAACTTTCCAATGGCAATAGGATCAGTAACCAGAAGGCACTGATGTAAAATATTTGCAAAAAGAAATGGAGACATGATGGGTATGTGAAAATACAATTTTTTTACACACAGTTATGATTTGGAATATATTGTCTTGAAACAGCAGGGGAAGCAGTTTCAATATTAATTGTTCAAAGGAAATTGTATATCTATTTGAAAAGGTATATTGCAGGGCTAATTTCTAAGAGCCAGCAATGGCATCCTGTGCCAAATGGCTTCATTCTATATAATCGCCTGGTCTGGCACAACATTTTGAAGCATCTCCTTTGGTGCGAGTACTGGATGGCGTGTCAGCCCAGAATTCATTTGTTGTTTTTAAAAAATAATAACCAGACTCTGGACACGAGACCAAATGGTTTCCAGGCATTTTTTTTTTTTAACAGCGCTTCTTACTGGTTCGATTAGAGCACAGAGTGTGAAGGAGAAAGATATTGTTAATTTTTTTTGGAACCTGGTGCAGGAAAAACTGTATATTCCAAACCCAGATTGTAACTTAACAGTGTCAAACAATAGGAAATGGGCCAGATTCTTAATTTAATAGCAAAACATGATATTCATTCAATGAGGCTTTCACCCACATACTTTTGTGACTTTCCCTTCATCTGGCACCTGAAGCTGTAAAGTAGTGTCTGCATTCACTTGTGACCTTCCTTGCAATTGATAGCAAGGGGCACTGCAAGGACACAGGCAGCATCCACAAAAAGAAGAGAGAAATAACAAGAGTTGTTGAGTGGGAATGAGACTGCTTGCTTCTAAATGGGAGAGTATTCAATTCGTAAAAATTGTAGAAGTGCTGGGAAGAGTTGCACAGTTTGAAAGCAAAATTAAATTCAGCTATTCAAAACAATCCTAATGTTATTTGCCACACTTTCTCATGTAGTATTGTCTATATTGTAGTCTTTTCTGTAGTCAATTTATGTATATTGAGAGTTAGCTGCTTGATGTGTTTCACTCAAGTCAACATTCTACCCAAGTTAATAACACAAAGAGTTATGTATAAAACAAAACCATCTCCTTTGCTGTGACTCTCATTTGATTGGATAAAGGATCATGGGTGTTCCGCAAGATGACAGCAGTGGTTACACTGTGCATGGTATAAATATATCACCTTGGTAAAGATAGTGCATTCTTTAATTTTATCAAAATGTCTTGCTGATTGTGCTCTACTGTCTTGAAAGCTTCTTTTTGTGCCATTACTCTCCATCCATTTGTTTGCATCTTTGCTTAGCTGTAATTCCCATTCTAGGTCCTGAATTCATATGATAGGTTTTAATGTTCGAAGAACAAGCTCCATCTGTTTAGGTGGATGCTTAGGATCACACAGCACTAGTCAGAGAAGATCAAGGAGTTTCTATGCCAACATCCCTTAACGCTCATCACTAAAAAGATTAATCTCTTTACACAGAGGGTGGTTCGCGTGAGGAATCAACTTCTTGAGGAAGTGGTGGATCCAGGCACAGTTACAACATTTAAAAGACACGTAGATAAGTATGTGAATAGGAGAGGTTTGGAGTGATATGGACCGGGTGGGACTAATTTAGTTTGGGATCATGATCAGCATGGACTGGTTGGAGCAAAGGGTCTGTTTCTATGCTGTATGACTCTACGACTATGACTCCCTAACTTTTTGTGAGACCTTGCAATGCAGAAATACTGTCATCATAGCAACTGTATTTCAAAATTATTCATTTTATATAAATTACCTGAGTTATTTCAGAGTGAAGACCATAAAATGTAGGAGCAGAAGTGGGCTATTTGGCCCATCGAGTCTTCTCCGCCACCAAATGACAGTATAAAGTTGAAGGATAAAGCATTAGAGGCAAACATCAGTGATAGTCCCGAAGAATCAGATAAATTCAGAAACCAAAGGATTTCTAATAAGATAACGAGAGAGAAAATAAATTATGAGGGCAAACTAGTGACGAATATAAAAACTGACAATCAGATCTTCTTTAAATATATAAAAAGGAAGAGAGAAAGTGAACATAAGTCCCTTAAGGAAACTGAATCTGGGGAGATAATTATGAGGAACAAGGAAGTAGCAGAGGAGTTAAACAAATATTTTGCATCAGTCTTTATGGTGGAATATACATCAAACATCCCATGAATACTGAAGAATACAGGGGAGGAATTAAATACCATCACCATCACTGGAGAAGTAGTCTTAATCAAACTAATGGGGCTAAAGGCAGATAAGTCCCCTGGCCCTGATGGCTTACATCCTAGGATCCTAAAAGGAGGAGTTACAGAGGTGGTTTGGAGGACTCATTGCTTGGGGAAGGTGGGCAGAGGCAGTTCAGGTGCCTTGTGGGTATTTGAAGAGTCAAGTGCAGTGTCATATCATGGGATAGTGGGGAAGCTGGTACACTGACCCTAGCAGCTAAATGGAAAAGCTCATCTGAAATTGCAGAAGTACACACCTTCCTTCAGCCACCGAGGCTCAAGGAAATCTCAGCCAACCAAAGTTTTGAATTTAAAATGGTGTATGAATACAAGTCATTGAACCTAATTACAACTTTTGCATTGCTGATCCTGGTCCGGAAAGTGTGTTGGTTGGCTGTCCATTGTCCAACCTTCATTAGACCAGAGTAAGTGAGTTTGATATGGATTGGCGTCATGAAACAGATATTTAACACACTAACATAACACATGCCCTCTTAATGTGTAGTCTCACTTTTGTATTTGTATTACTATTCACCTTCCTCTTCCTTTGCTTCATACAACGTTTTATTACTTTTTAACTATCAAGAACAGATTTTCATTTATCCAGTCTCTTTCATGACCACAGGATGTCCAAAGCGTTTTACACCAATTAAATGCTATATTTTGAGTATCATCCTTGGTGTAATGTAGGAAACAGAACAACCAACTATACTCAATCTGAAAATGACTATACAATCTGTTCTCCTGCTCTTGATTTGGAGCTAAACTTTATATACATCACAGGGAGAACTTCCCTACCCGTCTTCAAAATAGTGCCAAAAGATCTTTTCCATTCATTCACAGGGGCTGATGAGATCTTGGTTCATTTGAAAGATTGCACATCTGACAGAGAAGCACTTCCTTATCTTTGCTTAAATGCTTAGTTGTCTGCAGTAAGGTTTAAAATCACAAACTTTCTGACTTTAGGTGTGAGTGTTACCAATGGGCTATTTCTGACACTCTTTTCTATTATTGGCATGGGATTCAAATCAGATTGTTATCTCTTTCAGAGACAAGCTGACCTGCGGTGCAAACGCTGTATTTTCTGGTTTTATTTCAGACTCTCAGCATTTGTAATTTTTCACACTAATAAATGCTGTCGTAGCACATTGATGTACTGGCACACTATGAGGTACTCAGAGTTCTCACGAAGGCTCTCATCTGGAACACTGACCCTTCTTTCTTACAGGTCCTGAGTGACCTGCTGTTCGTTTCCAGTTTCATTTCATTAAAACATCATTCATGTGACATTATATCAAAGAAAACTCAGAAACAATCTCCAGGCCTGAGTTAAAATTTAATTAGCTCACAGTTGGCATTATCTTTTAAGTACAGCTTAGTTTCTTTCCCCCCAAGAATACATGATCAATTTTGGGCTCTTCGTGCATAAATTACCAAAGCACCATTTGTAAACATAGATCATCTTTTAATACCTAAGACAAGTGAAATCTGACAATGGGGCTAATTAGCTGGGGAAGGTGGAAGAAGCCTTGCAGCTGAGCCTCATCTTCACTTGGCTTTCACACATGCAATTTCAGTCAAGGTCACTGACTAGCCATCAAGGCCAATTTACAGCCACTGCACCACCACTAATCCATAGATATGGAGGCCACTGGGGCACTTTTACCACCCTCTCGGTTAAGTGAACCCTGCCTGGAGCTGACTGATCATTAAGGTTTAAAGAATTACTGGATCAGAACAGAAAATTCAATCAACACAGTCAGCACCCATAGAGACAAAGACAAATTAGATATTTGGACATCTGACACCACCTTTGTTCTTTATAGATGCTCACTACATTGATATACATGTAATGGAACTTTCCATATTCATTTGCAACTTTGAACATCTTTTGCTTGTCTTTTCAAATATTCCCCAAATATATTGGCTGGCTAAAGAGGAAATTAACACCATAGTGAGAAAAGATATTAGCTCTGACAATGTGGAGTCTATATGGGTGGAGTTGAGAAATACCAAGGGGCAAAAAACATTAACAGGTGTCATATATAGACCCCCAAACTCCAGTGGTGATGTTGAGAATGGCATTGAACAGGAAATTAGAGATGCACATGAATTTCGGTGACCATGGATGATATTAATCTGCACATAGATTGGGCAAATCAAATTAACTACAATGCCACAGAGGAGGAATTCCTGGAGTCTATACAGATGGTTTTCTTGAACAATATGTGGGGGAACCAACTAGACAGCAGGCCATCTTAGACTGGGTGCTGTGTAATGAGAAGGGAATCATTACCAATCTAGCTGTGCGAGACTCCTTGGGGAAGAGCAACCATAACATGATAGAATTTTTTTATCAAGATGGAGAGTGAGGTCGTGGATTCGGAGACTAGGGTGCTGAACCTTAATAAAGGAAACTGTTAGGATATGAGGCATGAGTTGGCCTTGATAGATTGGGGAGAGTTACTTAAATGGATGACAATGGATAGGCAATGCAAACATTCAAGGAATGCATGGGGGAGCTGCAACAATTGTTTATTCCTGTGTGGCACAAAAGCAAAACAGGTAAGAGGGCCAATCCATGGCTTACAAAAAAAATAAGAGATAGTATACGATCCAAGGAAGAAGCATACAGAGAGGCCAAGAAAAGTAATAAATCTGAGGAGTGGGAGCAGTTTAGAATTCAGCAAAGAAGGACCAAGGGATTGATTAAGAAGGGGAAAATAGAGTACGAAAGTAAGCTCGCAGGAAACATGAAGACTGATACTAAGAGTTTCTCTAGGTACGTGAAAAGAAAGAGATTGGTGAAGATAAATGTAGGTCCCCTACAGATAGAAATGGGGGAATGTATAATAGGGGACAAAGAAGTGGCTGAGGAACTGAATACATACTTTGGTTCTGTCTTCACAAAAAGAAGACACAAATCAGACACCAGAATTGTTGGAGGATGCAAGATTTAGTGAGAGGGAAGCATTGAGGGAGATCAATATTAGTAGAAAAATGGTACTGGGAAAATTGTTGGGATTGAAGGCCAATAAATCCTCAGGGCTAGAAAATCTGCATCCCAGAGTACTTAAGGAAGTAGCTCTAGAAATAGTGGAAGCATTGGTTGTCATCTTCCAGGATTCTATAGACTCTGGAACAGTCCCTGCAGATTGGAGGCTGGCTAATGTCACTCCAATATTCAACAAGGGAGATAAAGAGAAAACAGGGAATTATAGACTGTTGAGCCTAAAATCAGTAGTGGGGAAAATTCTTGAATCCATTGTCAAGGATTTTATAGCAGAGCATTTAGAAAGCAGTGGCAGGATCAGACAAAGTCAGCATGGATTTACGAAGGGGAAATCATGCTTGACAAATCCGTTGGAATCCTATGAAGATGTAACTAGTAAAATTGACCAGGGAGAGCCTGTAAACATAGTATTATATTTGGACTTTCAGAAAGTGTTTGACAAAGTCCCACATAAGAGTTTAATGTGCAAGATTAAAGCGCATGGGATTGAGGCAAGTGTATTGAGATGGATAGGAAACTGACTGGCAGAAGGGAAACAAAGAGTAGGAATTAATGAGTCCTTTTCAAATTGGCAGGCAGTAACTAGTGGGGGGCCACAGGGATTGGTTCTGGGACCCCAGCTATTCACAATATATATAAATGATTTGGATGAGGGAACAAAATGTAACATCTCAAAGTTTGCAGATGACACCAAGTTGGGTGGGAGGGTGAACTGTGACAAGGATGCAGATATCCTTCAGCATGATCTGAACAGGTTCGGTGAGTGGGCAAATCAGTGGCAGATGCGGTATAATTTTGATAGATGTGAGGTTATTCACTTTGGAAGCAAAAACAAGACAGATTACTTCCTGAATGGCTCTAATTTGGGAGAGGGGAGTGTGCAGTGGGACCTAGGCATCCTTGGGCACCAGTCGCTGAAGGTAAGCATGCAGGTACAGCAGGTGGTAAAGAAGGCAAATGATATGTTGGCCTTCATTGCGAGAGGTTGAGTACAGGTGCAGGGCTGTGTTGCTGCAATTGTACAGGGCCTTGGTGAAACCACATCTGGAATATTGTGTGCAATTTTCATCTCCTTTTCTCAGGAAGAATGCTCTTGTTCTCGAAGGAGCGCAGCGAAGGTTTACCAGGCTGATTCCGGGGAATGGTGAGTTTGATGTATGAGGAGAGATTGACTAGGTTAGGATTGTTTTTGCTCAAATTCAGACAAATGGGGCGGGGAGGGATCTCATAGAGACTTATAAAATTCTAACAGGACTAGACAGGATAGATGCAGGGAGGATGTTCCCGATGGTGGGTGTGTCCAGGACTAGAGGGTCACAGTATTAGGATTCAAGGTAGATGATTTAGGATGGAGATGAGGAGACATTTCTTCACCCAACGAGTGATGAGCCTGTGGAATTCATTACCACAGGAAGTAGTTGATGCCAAAACACTGAATGTATTCAAGAGGCGACTAGATGTAACACTTTGGGCGAATGGGTTCAAAGGTTATGGGGAGAAAGCAGGATTAGGTTATTGAATTGGACAATCAGCCATGATTGTGAAGAATGGCAGAGCGGACTCGAAGGGCCGGATAACCACCTCCTGCTCCTGTCTTTAATGTTTCTATGTAATTCTACAAAACGGATTTTAGGAAGTCAGAGAAAGTGAACAGGAGGAGTTTCTTCACCTACCCTAACCTGCTTACCATAATAATATCACAACTGATCTGTATTTAAACTCCATTTAGCATCTTAACTTCCTAACTCACCCAACAAAAATCTCAATTCTACCAGGATTCAGAGACTTTGGTGGGGCAAGTTCTAGATTTCTTGGCCAGGAAACATTTCTCCACATAATTTTGTGATGATAACCATTCCTATTCTATCAAATCCTATTTTAAACACCTAATCAGATCACCCCTGAAATCTTGGATACTCAAGGGAGTACGGGACAAGTTTATACAACCTAACCTCATAATACAATTATCTAACCTTCTGAAATTATGCTAACCTGACGTGCATTGAACAAACATGAACATAATTCTCCAGATATATAGTTGAAATTCTAAATCTTTTGCTCTTCCCCAGTTCCTCATCTCTCAGGATTTAGAAAGGATTCCAATTTATATTTCCTAAGTTCAATGTATATGGTTTCACACTTGGTACCCACATTGAATTTCATCTTTCATTGCAAAGTGAGAGAATTATTTCCAAACAGTCAAATTACCATTGAACTGGTAATTCTTTGTTGCCTTTAATTTTCTCACACAAACATCCTTACCTAGGTGCAGGCATGATAGGCCAAATGGCGTCCATCTGCAATATAACACTCCGTGATTCTGTGAAATCCACAAGACTGACACTCTACTGTAATACAGTTCTACATACAGTTATCTTCTTGGTACCTTACATTTCTAACATGCATTTCCAGCCTGTTATTGAGTAGTCTCAGGTTTTACAACTTTAAGGAATATAGCTTTCATCTAAAGAAAAATCATAATTCAATCAGAATCAGCAAGGTTTTATGTAAATGTTGTCAGACAAATACATCAAAATTCTTTGTGGATGTAATGAGCAGAGCAGATAAAGTGGAAGCAATTGACATAGTGTATTTGGATTTCCATTGGCATTCATTAAGGTGATATATAAAACGTTACTTCTCAAGAACCCCTGATGTTGGAGGTAAATATATTCACATAGATATATAATTAGAACCAAACTGGGAACAGAGAATAAGGATAAACTGATCATTTTCAATTCATTAGACATTAATTAATCAAATACCAACAAACAAAATAGGAGCAGGAGTAGACTATTTGGCCTCTCAAGCCTGATCCACCATTCAATAAGATTATGATTCATCTGGTGTTTCAATTCTACATTTCCATGTGCCCTCGTTAATCTTTGATTCCCTTGCCTAACAAGGAACTATCTCCCTCTGCCTTAAAAATATTAAATCATGCTGCAAGAATTAATTTTGGGCCTCAACCATTTATGATCCCTATCAATGACTTGGGTGAAAGGGCAGACTGTATTGCAGAAAGATTTGAAGATACAAAGATAAGTGGGAAAGCAAGTTGTGAGGAAGATAGAAGTGACATAGGTTAAGTGAGGGGTCAAAAATTGGTCAATTGAGCATAATGTGGGAAATGTGAGTTGTACACTTCACCAGAAATATTAAAAAGCAGGGTATTTTAAGAAAGAGAGAGCCAGACACACACTGCAAAATGCTGCAGTTACAGAGGGATTTGGTTGTTTTGCACATGAATCACAAAGTCAGCTTGTGGGTACAGTTAGTAATTAGGAAGGCAAATGTTATATTGGTCTGCATTGGTGACACTTCACCAGGCGTATGTGTCATTATATTGAAAGTTAAATGACAATATTAATTTAAGACCGCAATCAACAAGGCCAGAGGAGACAGTCTGGTAAGGTCACTCAGGTATTTTCTCTTAAATTATAAGTAATATTTATTAAAGCAGGTGAACAACTTGCTGGCCACACTACAGCTCCTGCTTTCTGATTCATCTTAAGGTGAGGGGTTGATACTCAGCCTCTGGTCTTCTCCAAAACATCTGGAGTATCTGCTTTCAACTGGAGAGTAGGCAAATTTCCATTTCAAACTTGGTTACTAAAAGCTGCTATTTTATTAACTCTTATCAAGTCACAACTCAATCAATTACATTGTTACATTCTAATTGGCCTAGGGGAGGTCAGGTTCACTTTGGATTGGTTTGAAGCCTGCATGATGAATGTCTATTAGCTGTTCAGGGTGATGAACATTGACTGATGTCACTTCCCACTATCTCTTGCCATTTATCCACGGGCCAATCCTCTTCATGATTATGATTTGGTATTATTACTTTCATGATTCTTTGCTAAGAGGATTGTTCATTTTTTTCCCCTCATTTGTTTAGCATAGGGACATGTGTGCTGATGATTAAAAATCTTGAGATCATTATCTTAATTTTCATTTGTAAAAGTTCATCATTAAATCAAATACTTACCAATGACCATTTGTTCTTTCTTAGAGGCAATTTATCAATTGATACAAGTTATTCATTAGATCAAGTGCTTGACCATTTGCTTATAGTGGCTATTTGTGAGGTGATGCTTTTTGTCTCTGTGGTTGTGGGAATGAGTTTCTTATTTTTGTTTAGAAAACAAAAGATTAGTGGAAAAGGTTATTTGTAATTTAAAAACTATGTAAAACAAATGCAGGTCACAAAGAACTAATATAAACAAAATTGTTAAAAATATTGTGTAAAAAGGGTGAAGTGATGAGATATCCTCATACAGTCAACACATAATCCTTAATGATAAGTAAAAGCCAAAAAAAAACCTGATGCTGTAAATCAGAAACAAAAACAGAAATTGCTGGAAAAGCTCAGAACTTGCTGGACCCAGTTTTGAGGAAGGATCACTAAACCCAAAACGTTCACTCTGATTTCTCTCAACAGATGCTACCGGACCTGCTGGGCTTTTCCAGCAATTTCTGTTTTTGTTCCGGAATAATAGAATTCTCAAGATTGTACACATCAAACTTGGTTTTTAACCAGCACCTGATGAACTGGCACACTTGATAAACCAACAAAAAATACCTCAAATACCAAAAGGTTTACTGTATTAAACTGTACAATTAGCATAGTTTTCTTATTTACCTCAATGTCAATATACTTGTTGTTCAATTGAACGGCCATATGAAATAACAACAGTTAATTCCATTTTGAGTCAATTTCTCCTCAAGTACAGTAATCTACCAATATGTTTGAGTAGCCAGTTGAGGATATGCGTGAGAAGGGTCTCTGCCAGTAAGTTTTATTTAAGGCAAAATTGCATTATTATTCAAGTGATTTATGCTGTGTATACCTCCTGCATCATGTTTCTATCAGTTAGTCTGTATTTTTAACATTGATTATGTGGAACTCTTATTTGATCAACTGGCACACTCCTGATCCCACAGGTGCCAGATAATAAAAACTTTACTGTAGTCACAAACTTAAACAAACGTTGGAATAAAGTTAACTCATAAAGAAATTAAATTTAATCAAATCTAATGGCTTCACATTGAAGACATTAATGAAAAGGCCAGGTACGGCACAGCTGTTGCTATCATTTTCTCTCCCTCTCTGACTTTTCTGTTGCCTGATTAGAATTTTATGAGCTGAGAAGATGTTAACTCACCTTGAAAGTTGCGTATTCTCAATCTGGCGTTCTAAAGTGGAAATTAACTAAACAAGGGACCTCCAGCATTTATGCAGTAGTTTTGGAAAAAAACTAGTGTTACCCATCCCTTTGTTAAGAGTACTAAGCAGTCATATAATATTAAAGTATTAAAAGCCACATCAGTTAGTTAAGCAAAATAATATAATCTTAAATCAGTGAATATATTTTGTGCGCTTGTTACAAACCAAATTAATCATGAAATGTGAAATCCCTACTAGTCCTACATTGTGTACAGGTTTGGTTTCCTACTTATGGAATATACTGACATGATAAGCAGTTTAGAGAAGTGTTGGTCTCATTCCCAACAAGAAGGGCTTGTCTTTTTAGCAAAGGTTGGGCCTACACTGATTGCTTTAGTAATAGTAAAGTCACCATGGTCCCAGAAGACCATCGGGCTGCTCTCTCATTACAGAGATAACTGGAAGTGGTTTAACCAAAGATTCACCATGCCTTTAACAAGGGGCAAGGATGAGAAGGTGGGGCCTTTGTGGTAACCTTAGCTGGTGCAGGAAATGACACACATTGTTGGCACCACTCTGCATCATAAACCAGCTGTCCAGCCAAGTGAGCAAACTGACCTTTTTGCTGATTGAAAAATATCATTTCTTGTGCTTCTAAACCAAACATCTAAGTTTCCAAGGGGGCTTGACAGGATTAATACTTAAATACTAGAAATACTAACAGCAGAATTTTCCCAGCCTCTGCATTATGCGAGTAATGTCAGGACGGTTTGGAAAATGCAATGAGAATATCAAATAACAAAATATAATTCTTGACATCGAGACAAAAATGTCGATATTCTGCTAAAGGTTTCAACTGCTAGAATCTCGCAAGTGAGGAGCCTATTTACATTTACCTTATGAACTTATTTATATGCAAGTTGCTATTTCCTAGATACTGAAGAGAAACTTAGCAGTGTCAATTACTGACTTGAAAG